TCCGTGGTGGAATCGTTGACAACGCAAGTCTCATTTCTTCATCGATGGGTTTGAGCCTCTCCCTCTTTGATGTCTTAATTTCAGTTAACGTCGAGAAGCCCAGTTCACACAAATATGTAGTTGAAAATGGCAATAACACGTTAACTGCCATCTCGGAGATAGCCGGGTATTCACTCCTTATTGCCAACCAAAACGTATCCAATGGCACTTCGAGAAGTTTTAGTTTCAATGTTCTGTCTGCTTTTAAATCTGCGAGTTCCTCTTGTATATTAATCGGAAGATGTTCTAAATTCACAACAAATGGATCACGAACCCAGTCGAAATCTTGTACACTCTCTCCAAAATACTTATTGAATTTCTGCTGCAGCATTTCTAAATGTTCTTTAATTGGGTCCATCACCACTTTATTGCCGTCAGCAAGTGACCATACAGTCGGGGACATCTCAAACGACCCATCTGTAATTCTCTAACTAGCAACCAAAATTTGCGATCTACTTCAGAGCACAGTTGTGATAGAACTGAAACAACTGTAAAACGCGGGATCTCTACTCTTCAAACGGAAGAAGTGACACTATACCAACTTATTTTTGAAGTATTTGTAATTTTAAATGAAGTCCAACAATCGGTGGGTGCATCGTTACAGGAAGAAAGTCATAAATTTGAAGAAGCTCTAACTTCTAACAAACACGGGCAAATACCGAAACAGCGTTATAAAAGACAGGAAAACCCATGCTAATCTCTGCAGTTTGAGGGAAAAGCACGTACACAGAACATGCGGCAAACATATCAAAGAAGCTGCGTAGATGCGAGAAAAATAAAAATAAATCAATAATGAAAACTATGATATAACAACAACTGTGAGTAAATAATTTTCGTTTAATTTCTTAGAATACAACGTTACTGTACATAACAAATCACAGCATGTAATAAAGAATAAACAACCATCATCTTATTTAATCAGTGCAGTGTCTGAGAATAAAATACAAGCATATGAAACACGGTAACTGGGATAAAATAAAACGAATAAAATGCGACAACTAATTTCTTACAATACGTAAAAGTTCGCGTCACACCTTTCACCTTGTGACGGCACACCGGTTGCGGAACACTGGTCTAGAGAATATGTGGGAACCTCGACGTCTCACATCCCTATGGGTCTTCAGGGCCTGTTACAGGGATAAGTTTACCTTTCAACTTAAATTTAATAATCATATTCGATTATAGGCCTATTTACTACATCCTGACTTACCTCATTTCTTGTGAACTGGGCATAATACTGACGTATTCCATTTATCCGGCATAGTTTCAGCTATATGTCTGCATCTCATTTCACAATCTCAACCCTTCATACTTGATTAATCCACCAAAAAAATATTGTTTTCCCTTGTGCTCTATAACGTTTCAGATACCTTGTAACCTTAGAAATTTCATTCTCTGTTGGCACCTCAGTGTGTGGGAAGAGATGTGCAGCTTCACTTCGCACGTGAAGTAACTAAGGGTGACGAAATGCATGCAAGTTACAGAACAGCTGAATGTTACTTACCAGCACTACAAAGCAGAACAGTATGTGCACGTATCTCACCACCTCACGATCATAGATTCTCATTGTTGTCATTCCAGACACAAGGTTCACCTTTGTGAAGTGTAACTTGGCCCTGCCCGGCAAATGCATTTCACTGCCATCTTCCCTGACAGATGGAAGGTACCTCAGTCATCCCAAGTGTTCGCGCATTACCGACAATTTCTTGTGGGCTACTTTACACTCTCAGTCCAACAGACATGCCCTTTCTTCTAGGTGAGGTGGATTGTATTCAGTTCCCAGATTAGATAAAAGAATTTGTCCAGCTTTATTTGGAACTTCATAAACTGCAGATAAGATACGAAATGTGCAGAATGTTGCACGTCTCTCAGCTGATAAATATCCACTTACTAGTTGAATGGGTTACTTTGAAAAGAGCACATGTTCAGTAGCTGAAATGATTCTTGCTAACCGCTTCAGTTAACGACGGAGATGGGCCCAGATACAACTGAATTTTCAAATGATTTCCATATTGTTGATGTAAGTAAAGGTAAAGCTATCCCTGTAACTGGCCGTGGAGACCCATAGGATTGTGAGACGTAGAGGCTCCTCCATTTTCTAGACAATCGGCTCACAGATGGCGGTCAGGTAGTCAGCCTTACGCCCCGGCCGCCCTTTACCCGCAGGAACATTCCTGGTACTGATTTCTGTTAGAGCCTGAGTCGACCCCAGGGCCGTAGTGAGGCTGGAAGGATTATGCCAACTGAAAAATCCAGTGACCTCATCGGGACTTGAACCCGCAACCTTCCGGCTTGTAGCATAGTACCTCAACCAACTACGCTACAGCAACCATTATGAAAGGAGAACTCAGGAAGTGAACATATCGGGACTTGAACCCGCAACCTTCCGGCTTGTAGCATAGTACCTCAACCAACTACGCTACAGCAACCATTATGAAAGGAGAACTCAGGAAGTGAACATATCGGGACTTGAACCCGCAACCTTCCGGCTTGTAGCATAGTACCTCAACCAACTACGCTACAGCAACCATTATGAAAGGAGAACTCAGGAAGTGAACATAGTTCAAAATCAGTAGAACTGTTGTCCTACCGTCGGGAAATACTCGCTGCGAATTTGGACTCGAACCAGCGACCTTCCGGCTTGTAGCATGGTGCCTCAACCAACTACGCTACCGTGTACCCCGTTTTCATGGCGTAGTGCTTAATTAGTTAAGCATAGGGACAATTTTAGTTTTACCTAATACTAAATTCAGTGGGAATCCTGACTCGATGAAGGAAATTCATTCGGAGTCTGAAGCATTCTTGGCAGAGTATATGCACTGCTACCGTTGAATTATACTGCACATAAAAGCCAAGTGTGGGGTGGGCACTATGGAATAACATTAAACTTACAGCTGTCGCCGGATGTTAGCTGCTCTGACGTAAAAGGGTGAACTGAGTTGCGTCAGAATGACGATTGTCAGCTGTTCCAGAATTTTTAACAGTTGAAGACTTCAGAATGCGTATTCTCATATCATCTAGAAATCTCAATTTTTTTCTAGGATAAAACTTCTGAAGTTCGACGTACGCTCTACCGCATATAAAATCTTACTTTTTCATTATGTACATTATCATAAACAGTAATATTTGAGCTGTTATGTAAATACTTATCAGCAACACTAGACAAACTGTCTGTCTATGGCTCTACAGCCCTTTCATGGACCTTGGCCGCTTTTTCAGTTTTTTGATCACTTATACAGCCGGCAGGACTCCGTGGACGGGGGATCAGTCCATAGCAGGGCCTCTACCTCACACAGACATCCTGCCTCAAATGGGATTCGAACCCACGATCCCAGTGTTTGAGCGGGAGAAGAGGGTTCATGCCTTAGACCACGCGGTCACTGTGATCGGTACAGGAGACAGGCTATATTCGCCCAGAGGCCCACAGAAGCCCGTCCCTGAGCCCAGTTTTCTGTGTTATAATGGCCAGGGACGTTGCTTTAAGCAAGATTCCATTTGTACGCAGTAGTGTTAAATTATTAAAATAACTGCTCCAGGAACAAATCCGTATAATCAGGTGGACGAATTTTTGGCTTTAGTCAGATTAACATCGTCACCATAATCAAGAATATGTACACAGACTTTGGCTTAAATGTCTTCTTATAATCATCTTAGGCACAGCTGGTCTTTCTCTTCTCTTCAGGCGTTCAAGACCTCCTCGTCCCATTGGTTTGTTTCCCAGTGTCTACTTTGGCATTCTGTTTATTCTTCATTCTGTATATCCCATTGTTGCCAATTATTTGCGAAATCTTCGATTTCCTTGTTACAGTGACGATATTGCAACACCCGGTAAATCCCGTACGAACCTCAGTTATGATTCTTCCAGTTTTCGGTGTCAGTGCTGTTAAATAAGAGGCACGCGGTAGCGTAGTTGGTTGAGGCACTATGTTACAAAGCAGGAAGGTCGCGGGTTCGAGTCCCGATGAGGTGGATTTTTCAATTGACCTAATCCTTCCAGCTGCACTATGGCCCTGGGGTCGACTCTGCCTTCCAGGAATCTTCCTGAGGGGTAAAGGGCGGCCGGCGCCTAAGACTGACAACCTTACCGCCGTCTGTGAACCGATTGTCTAGAGGAAATGTAGGAGCCTCGACGTCTCATAACTCTATGGGCCTCCACGGCCTGTTACAAGGATAGCTTTACTTTTTTATCTTTAACGCTGTTAAACAACTACGCCTTCCTGTACTGTGGAGTTGTGTATTCTTATTTCTCATGCATTATTATCCACTCTTTAAATCCACCAATTTTATATCTAAAGCATCTTTACAACGAGAAGCAAACAGATTATTTAACCGGCAAGACGAGCCCCATTTGCAAGGTTGCAAAGAATCAACTTTATCGAAATAGCTTCTTAAGATATGCACGAAAATAGGAATTAACATTTTCATGTCTATATAAAGACCATTCCAAGTAAGTATGATGATGTCTTGACACCAGAATCCAAGACAAAATCGTAGCATAAGGGTAGCCAATAGATCCTTTAAAAACGTGAGAAATTTCAAATATTTGGGAGCAATAGTAACAAGTCAAAATTTGATTCATGAGGAGATTAAGTGCAGGTTAAATTCCGGTAGTATTTGCTGCCATTCGGTTCAGAACCTTTTGTCTTCACGTCTGCTGTCTAGAAACAAAAATTGGAATATGGAAAACTATAATTTTGCCTGTGGTTCTGTATGGGTGCAATATTAAGGGAGGAACATAGACTGAGGGTGTCTGAGAACAGGGTGTTGAGGAGAATATTTGGGCCGAAGAGAGATTAAGTGACGGGAGATTGGAGAAAACTGCATAATGAGGAGCTTCATAGCTTATACTCCTCTCTAAACATAATTAGAATGATTAAGTCAAGGAGAATGAGATGGACAGAGCATGTAGTAGGAATGCAGAGAAGAGGAATGAATATAGGAGATTGGTGGGAAAGCCAGAAGGAAAGAGACAGCTAGGAAGACCAAGACGTAAGCGGGTGGACAATATTAAAACGGATCTTAGAGAGATAGGATGGGATAGTATGGACTGGATTGATCTGGCTCCGGATAGGGACAAGTGGAGGGCTCTTGTTAACTTGGTAATAAACCTTCAGGTTCCATAAAATGCTGCGAAGTTTTTGAGTAGCTGCACAATTGGCGGCTCCTCTAGAAGGGCTCACCTCCATGAAAGCACGTACATAGTTACTATGTACTTTCCAGTGCAGAGACAGTGTCTGGTTAATAAAGAGTTTTGTTGGTAACACAATAAGAAAGCTTCACGAGCTACATCGTACAGTGGTCGTGAAACTGACGTGAAATTCAAATGATTTAGTGAAGTACGTAAACTCTTCATTGTACTGTTCTCTTCTTCTGGTGTTGAGCGCTCGATTCTTCACGCTCACGTAAATACAACCATCTTTCAAACTTTGCAAACAGACGCAGAAGCTCGTGTCACAGCACCTAGTTTTCGCGCAGCAGCTAGCGTATTACTTTTACTTTTTACACTACCGACTTATACCGAACGTTGCGGTTGAGTTGTTAGCACTACAGCCTCTTACTCGGAAGGTCCCAGGTTCGATTCTTGCCTGAAGATTTTATGTTCTAATTTTCGTACGTCATTTTCTTAGTACCGCAAGGCAACTGCATGTATATATAAAAAAGTTAAAGCTGTACCTGTAACAGGCCGTGGAGGCCCCATAGGGTTGTGAGAAGTTGAGGCTCCCACATTTTCTCTAAACAATCGGTTCACAGATGGCGGTAAGGTTGCCAGCCTTGCTTGGGGGCCGCTCTTAACCCCATGAAGATTCCTGGTACTCATTTCTGTTAGAGGCTAAGTCGACACCAGGGCCATAGTGCGGCTGGAAGGGTTAGGTCAACTGAAAAAATCCAGTGACCTCATCGGGACTTGAACCCGGCTTGTAGCATAGCCCCTCAACCAACTACGCTACCGTTAAGTAAATGTCAGCGTAGAACAGAAATCTGTCTGAAAATAATAATAATAAAAAACAACGTTTAGGTGCTTTTGGGTCCCTTTGTGATGAAGTTTAAATTTTAAAATAAAATAATCAACGAATTAGCACTGTGAATAACAATAAGCCGCGGCACTGTGTTATATAGAACTGTATCTAGAATATCGCTGTTGTATTCGTGGTAGTAAGAGAAAACTGCGCCAGAAGATAGGGCCCGTTGAAGTTAATGGAGCCCAGCAGTTCATTTTGTCAGCAGTGTGCAGTGAAGGATTCTCGTAAGAGTTTTATTAGCATCTCCCCTAGTAACTTTGGTCTCCCTGCGGAGTGTATAGGACAGTTTATAAGATATGTTTTTCAACATGTACATACTAAAAACTTGATCTTGCCAAAAGTGAATTAAAATTACAAAAAAAGAATGCATGAAAACATTCAACATGAGGCCAGGTACAAAAGAATAACGAGAAACAAATTAGAGCAGCGAAACAAAGCCATTAACTCTGGAACGCGCTCCCGTTGCAGGCCTACTGACGGCCATGACATAGAGCTAGCACGACGCCATGCAGACTGACAAGGAAGTTACATTAGTACCCAGTTCTTAGAACAAGATGGAGCTGACGCAGATTTACTCGTACTGCGAGATCTCGCGCGCTGCTTTCTGAGCTTTCGGTCGTTCACTCAAATTCTCTCGCGTTAAGAAGCACTTTCTGATCATACAGACACACCAAGAAGCGACTCTCAAAGTGTTGAATGTCAA